TAGTAATCCTTCAATTAAATCTTATCAGCACACTATGGTATTATCAAATAAACAAGTTTAGGACAAAAACTACTTTAATTATGGTGAGCCTCCACTGATAGGAGCAGAGGTTTTCAGTCTGCTCAAAAGAGCCACCTGCTTGGAAACATCCCAGGTGCATTTATCAGTATGATTTACAAAGGGATCGGAGATCATTGGTTCATCTAGACAGCTGGCTAAGTGGATGTTGCCTCTAACAAATCCTATCATATTTGTCAGACTGATGCCAAAGAATGCTGTCTTCGTTAGTATTATTATTGCTGTGCAGAGACACCATGACCACAGCAACTCTTAGAAAGGAAAATAGGTAATTAGGGTGGCTCATTTACAGTTTCAGAGGTTCAGTCCATTATCATCATGGTGGTGAGCATGGCAGCATGCAGGCAGACATGATGCTGAAATAGTAGCTAAGAGTCCTATGTCTTGCAACAGGAAGTCGACGGATCCACTGGGTGGTATCCTGCATATAGGAAGTCTCAAAGCCTCCCCCTGACCCACGCACTGACGCACTTCCTCTAACAAGGCCACACCCACTCCAACAAAGATTGTAACTAGAGTTTTCCTGCCTTGCCCACAGTCAGGACAAATCTTTGTCACCCGCCATTCCCACAGCCGCTCAGACCCAACCAAGTAAACACAGAGAATAATATTGCTTACAAACTGTATGGCCATGGCAGGCTTCTTGCTAACTGTTCTTATAGCTTAAATTAATCCATTTTCATAAATCTATACCTTGCCATGTGGCTTACTGGCATCTTCACATGCTGCTTGTCATGGTGGCAATGGGCAGTGACTCCTTCTGCCTTCCTGTTCTTTCTTTTCTCCTCTCTGTTAGTCCCGCCTGTACTTCCTGCCTAGCCACTGGCCAATCAGTGTTTTATTTATTGACCAATCAGAGCAATTTGACATACAGACCATCCCACAGCACAAAGCCACACCGCTCAACTCCCTATGAGATGATGGAGACCAATTACATTCAAACTACCACAGATGCTTATCTCTGTGACTTGGCATCATGGTCACCAGAGAGCTTAGTACAGGCTTCCTCACCTTCCTGTACCATCTTTGCTGAATATCATTCATGAAGATGTTCTCTTAGACATTATCAATTCCCTGTCATCTCTCTTATACTGTAACCATAGCAAATTGTAATTTTTAAAGCTAATCTGTGGTTTAGTCTACAGCATGTTAGCTGGCATTTTGTTGTTGGGACACAGTACCCAAGACTATGAAGTCGTGAGGGTAAAGGTTTATTTCGGCTCATCATTTCAGAAGTTTTAGTTCCTGAGTGCTTGGCCTAGTAGATGTGAGTGAGAGAGTACTGTGGTGGAGAAAGCCCTGACCAGGAGGCTGTCTACCTCATGGTAGGTAGAAAGCAAAAGAAGAGGAAGGGCTAGGTCAAAAGTCAACTCTTCAAAGGTTTAACCCAATGTCCTGACTTCCCTTTCCCAGGTCCCACCTCCTAAAGTTTCCATTGCTTACCTGTAGCCCAAGAGGCTGGCCATTAAGCCTATAACGTGGGTGTTTAGGGTCATTCCACACCCAACTACAGCATACTGGAAATGTGTTAGGTAGTCTACAGTCTGCCCACCATCAGGCAGAGTGAGTGCTCACCTACACTACACAGTTAATGCCTACTGTTTTGTTGTTTTGAAAATTGAATGGACGGGTACCTGCTACTTGTTTTCCTTTCTGTTCCATGTCTTGATGTCTTACAATGCACATTTACGTTTGCCTCACCATCACTTGACTCTACCATGAATCTTTAACTCTGACAATGCAAGTTATGTTTTTTGTTTGTTTGTTTTGTTTTTGCTGTAGATCTATCTGGTTGAGTAATTAGGTTTGGTCTCACCCTTATGTTAGTCACTGAGTTTCTCTAACCTGTTTCATATTTACAGTGCTTTCCTTAATAAAGATCAAGAGAACCATCATTCTGTTTTATACACATACTCTTTTTCATCTTGCAAAAACATTATTTTCTTTGGCCTTTATTTAATGAAGCAACATTTTTTTTAATTGACTTTGGAGCACTTTGCATGGTTACTCAAATTCTTTCTTGGCAAGCCTGATTATTAGTTTGTACTTGGCCCTCTAAACTTTGAAGGTTTTCTTGTGTTCCTTGACAGAGGGCTTTCTTTCCATTTTGTTAATGTTGTTGATGAGACAGGATCCGATTTAGCCCAGTCTAGCTGCTGTGCAGCCAAAGTTAGCCTTGAACTCATGTTCCTTCTGCTTCCACCTCTCAAGTGTGTCACTATGTTAGACTCATATTGCAGTTTTTGAGAACCAGTTTGCTTCTCTTGCCTACTCTGTCCCCTAAACCATCTGCCCAGAATCTGCTCTTTTAGATCCTTATCTTGGGCCAAGGATGGACTAAGATCTTATCTTAAAATGGACTTTAAAGTACCCCTGGTTTGTTTGCCAAAAGCATTTCTCTTTGAGAAATAATACCTCATTTTTAAGGGTTCACTTGTGACCTTTATAGCAGTCTTCCAAGGCTGGAGAGATTAGTACCTTCCAAGTCAAAAGGCCTCTTTTCCAGTTAGTAACTATCAGTAAGTTTTACCTAAGAAATACTATATATATATATATATATATATATATATATATATATATATATATTCAATATAGTACATCTCATTATTCTCTGTGTTTACATATCTTCATTAAAATAGGGAGAATATTGCCCAGAGGATCATAAAATGATGCTTCATAGTTTGGCAACACACAAGACCTTTCAGTATAATGCATATATGAGTTGGTAATGCCCATACTTAATGATAAGGTGAAATTATTTATAGTTAAGTAAAAGTAGACTAATGTCATAGTACATGTAGCTTAAAGAAGAAAGAAAAATTCACAGTACTCCCTATATGGTTTGGTAGACTCTAGAAACTTACTTTGCAACTGTAGCCATTGGGATTGGGTGTTGCATCTCTCTTTTTTTTTTTTTTTTTTTTTTTTTTTTTTTTGGTGTGTGTGTTTACATGTTAGTTTTGTCTGCAGGACAGCAGGCCTTACTGAACATACACATTAATCTCTGTCAATGCCCCTTCCTGCTCCTTCAGGGCCTTCAGTCCCCATTTAGGTCTCCCTGAATTCTTCTACATCATTTTTTTCAGGGACATCTTAGGTGCCTGTGACCTACTGCATTAACTAGTTACAAAGAGTTTCATCTGTCTCTGCCTCTGAATTGTTCATACACAGCCCTTCAGGGAACATTCAGAGGTTCTTAACACTGTTCCACATAAAACCTTGTAAGAATCCAAGTTTTACATGTCAAAAGAAGTCATTGAGCTATTGTCAGCTCCTGTGTAGGGGGAATCATGTCCTTCAGGTCATACTCTGTAGCCAGAATCCCAAATACTGTTGCTCATTCACATCCTGTACCATATGGGCACAGAAACTGGAAATCCATCCTAGGACAAGGACACAGAATCCAACCATGGTTTCTGTTTCTATTCCTTACCTGCCCCACAGTGTGAAAAGAGTATAATACAAACATCTCTGTTATCCTCAGTATGAACTTAGAACCAGAAGTCTTCATGCACTTGGATCCCTATGTTGTTATCAAGTGTCCATATTTATCATTGGTTTCATATTCCTCGGGTCGCTGGGAAGTCATAGATGCAAATAAGTTACCTGATAATATGCTATAATTCTCCTATAGTTTCATGGATGATTTGTTTACATTTGCATTTTTTATTTTATAAGCAAATTAAGCTTCTTTATGTGTGTATATGTCAATAGGAATATACAAATAAATGAGAAACACATATGTTTGTGGGTGGACAAATCAAATACAGAATAATATGGAGTATATGTGTGAGTTGTGGACATATCCAGCAGCATGGTATGCCTACAGGTTTATGCATATGATCTAACACTAATATAATATTGGCTGTGTACAATATGTGGGAGTGGGTTGGTGAAGGCATGTAAATGAAACAGACACTAATGTAATATTGGGTGTGTCTGAGTCATTCAGACAAGTATCATATATACGTCTGTATAAGTGTGTTAGAATATGAATCAGGCAGCCGGGCGGTGGTGGTGCATGTCTTTAATACCAGCACTCAGGAGGCAGAGCTAGGCAGATCTTTATGAGTTCGAGGCCAGCCTGCACTACAGAGTGAGCTCCAGGACAGGCACCAAAAATATATAGAGAAACCCTGTCTTGAAAAACAAAAACAAAACAAAACAAAAAACAATATGAATCAGATACAGAATAACACAATTATATGCATGTGTGCATCTGACTTAGAATAACAGAGAAAAGGCAGGGCAAATAATGCTTAGTGTTGAATCTGAGATGATAATTTCATACCTATGTAGCTTTGTAATTTGGCAGGAATCTGTCAACTACTGTAGGCTTTATTAGCAAAAGGTGATTTTTTTTTTAAGTCTAATGAAGGTCTTTTATGGTTCTCAAATGTGATGCTTATTGACGTTACCATGACTGATCACCCAGTTTGTTCTGGCACTGTGTGAATGAATTTATTTTTAATATTATTTTATAGTTGACCTTCAGTGCTCATATTTACTTCAAATCTTCATTAGCTTCTTGAACAAGGCATGAAAACTCTTAATCTCATGAGCTTTCTTCCAAAACTATAGCCAAACTCTTCCAAGGTTATTTCCATCGGTGTACTGATCACTGCTCTCTTTGCTGTGGCCGGGTACCTTACATGAAGCAACATATGGAAAGAAGGGCACTTTGGTTTATATTTTAAAAAGGGAAGTAGTCCATCACAGCAGGGAAGGCATGAAGGCGGGAGCATGTGGTGCTTGGTCACATTGGACCCAAAGTCAGGAAGCAGTGAGAAATGACTGCAGGTGTTCAGCTTGCCTTTTCCTTTCATTCTGAAAACCCAGCCTGTGAATGGTGCCACCCACTTTCAGGGCAGGCCTTCCATGCTCAGTCTGCAAACTCATAGACACACTTTTTTCCCCAGGGAGATTCGAAATCTAGTTTAATTGATAATGAAAACCAAGCATCACAATAGGTCAGTCTAGGAAGACTGCAGGGGCTGAAGGAATGGCTGTCAGTGAAGTGTTTGCCTTGCAAGCGTGTTCCATGCGGTTTGGGTTTCCAGCACCAACAGAAAAGGATGGGCGTGGTTCATCACATCTTTATCCCTCAGGTGGCAGGGAGCAGGACATCCAGCACAGACAGATCTCCAGAGCTTGAAGGACAGCAATGTATCCTATTGGCAAGCTCTAGTCTCAGCGAGAGCCTTTTTCAAATAATAAGATGGAGAGGGAGGGATAGAGGAAGAGACCCAGCATTGACCTCTGACTTACACATGCTATGATTACAGCAGTCACAGTGCTATAGATATGCAGCTGTACAATGCTTAGCTAAAGAAAGGACTGAGTGAAATCCATTGTCTGTGTGTCTTTGTGTGTCTGCGTGTTATACACGTGTATGTGCAAGTTTGTGAAGGCCAGAGGTGGACCTTGGGAATAAATACTTAGCAGCCACCTGTCTTGGGGTTTTTCTTGCTACGAAGAAACACCATGACTACAGCAATTCTTACAAAGAAAACATTTAATTGAGATGGCTCACTTATATTTCAGAGGTTCCGTCCATTATCATCATGTCAGGGAGCCATGGGGGCATGCAGGCAGATGTGGTGCTGGCTATATCTTGGTGTGCAGGCAACAGGAAGTTCACTGACAATCACACGGAGGAAAGCTTGAGCAAAAGAGACCTCAGAGCCCGCCCCCACAGTGACACACTTCCTCCAACAAGGCCACACCTCCTAATTTGCCACTCTCTTTTGGGGGCCATTTTCTTTCAAGCCATCACACCATCCCTCTTGTTTCTTGACACTGGGTCTCTCATTGGCCTGTGGCTGTGCTGACTGGCCAGTAAGCCTCTCTCCGTCTCCCAGGGTTGGGAATCCTTGCCTGGAGTTTTGACATGCGTTCTGGCCATTGAGCTCAGATTCTCACTTTTCTGACCCAGCCATCTCTTTTCAGGTCCTGGGTGAAGTTCTTAAAGTATCTACTTTGTCCCCGTGGACAGTGCATCCACCATTCTCGCTGTGCATGAGATATTCAGCCTATGATTGTGTAATGAACGCATCCTTGTGACATTTTAAAATGCCCTGTCATATAGATGTTTTCATATTCACTGTCAAGTTCTCGTGATGTTTTGATTGGCGTAGGTGGGGTGAGTGACTTCTCATCATGGTGGTTGTGAGAGGTCATGACTACTTGGATGCTTAGGATCCCAGGATAGTCAAGAGGAATGGGGGTGTGTGGGAAGACAATGATGGTGACTTCCTTCCACTCTTAGGGACAGTGATTGTGCCCTTTCAGATCAGCCATCTTTAACCAGTGAAGCACATTATTTCATTAGCTCCATGTCCCCAGAGTCATATGGGAGTCTTCTCTGAATATAAATCTCGTGTCCACAGGGCACTGAAGCAGTTAATCTAACTGCTCTCTCAGACTCAGAGTGCAGTGCGGACGTAGCACTGAGTTATTATTCGGGAGCATAGGAAAGACCCGCTTTTTCATAGAATACACTCTTACTAATATGTGAAAGTGAAAAACTCTAAGGGAATGTTCTAAATGCTCAGATAAGATTTGGTTATTTGATTGAGCAGTATAGTGTTTTTGTTGCGTGAACATTTTATGCCACTTTCCTTCTTAATTTCATAGTTTACCTGAGCTTGGATGGTGAAAAAATGGTCTTTTAAAGCCCTCTGCCATTTTACTCTGATCAGCACTGGTAGATTTTTGCCTTGGTACTTTGTGTTGACATCTTCGCTTGAGGTACCAGAGTAAACATGAGAAATGAGACAGTAAAAATTGTGGCTGACCCTCAAGTATCACTAATATTTTCAATGTAGGTATTTGGACCTCTACTAAACGAAATGTTAATGTGTTATGTAAGGTTAGCTTACCCAGTAGTTTTGATGTCCTTGAAGTTTCACCTCAGAGATTATAATACAGTCTGGATGCTCCGTGTTGCCTTCCAGTGACCTCGTTTAGCTTGAGCCTTTTAAAGGCATTTGAGGAGATTTGTATGAAGTTTTGTGCTGAATTGAACCTCAGAAAGGAAATGTTTTTCAGAGTCAAAATGAAACCATGTATTCATATTGGGAGTAATATGGAAAGAAACAAACAACAAAAAAGAAATCCTCCCCTCAGGAGCAGCCGCGTTTGCCTCCTGCCAATTGGCCCGATTGTGAGAACTAGTGAAGTCATCAAGCCAGAGCTATTTTAATCCTGACAGGGCAATGCGCAGAGGCAGCTGGAGATGCGGTACAGGGGAAGCACAGAGACATTTTCCGGGGCAGAAAATGTCCCTGCTGACTGACAGCATCCCTGGTTCACACCTAGTGGCCTCTGGCACCTCTCTGGGAAACTGGAGGGCTTTTGTAATGGCCCAGGCAGGGACAGTGTGGACTGGATCTCCATCCAGCTCTTTCAGGAGACCTCCAACTTCTTCCCCAAAGAGAGACCCGTCCTGTACACCATGATAAGATAACGTGGGTTACAAACATGGCAATGGTGAGAAGTTGAATACAAATTGCTGTTGTTACTATTATTTGAGACAGGTTGCTCTGCTATCCTAGGCTGGCCTGAACTGGCTAGGTAGCTGAGGATTTCCTTTAACTTCTTATTCCCCGATTTCTGCCCCCACCACCAAGGGCAAGAATTACAGACAAGTACCACGTGCTTTGTAGATAAATTTCTAAATGGTCTTATTAAATAAAAAACACGGAGCCAAATATATGGGTAAAAGCTTTAGAGATCAGGGAAATAGGAAAAACCACCAGCCAACCTTACCTCACCAACTCTGCAGCTTCCAAATGTGAGTTACTTCCTGTCTACCCAGGCTTTATATGCCTTGCTTTTCTGCCCTCTCATTGGCTCTTAGCCCAGCTACCTCACTTCCTTGTCACTCCCTGTCTGTACAGACCTCCAGGTCTCTACGGTTGGTACTGGGATTAAAGGCCTGTGTCACTACACTTGGCTCTGTTCCCTAGTATGGCCGTGAACACATAGAGACCCTGCCTGCCAAGTGATCAGATTAAGGGCGTGTGCTGCCTGACTTGTTTACTTAAAATGGCTGGCCTTTCCCCCCTGATCTCCAGGCAAGCTTTATTTATCAAAGCACAAATAAAATATCACCACAATGCTTGGTTTTGAAGTACTGATGATCAAACCCATATCCTTGTCCAGGCTAGACAAGTACATTGCCAAATGAACTATACCCCTAGACATGAACTATTTTGAGTTTTTCCTTTTCTTTGTCATATTGTTTTTTAACTACACGAGGTCAGAAGTACAAGGTCTGTACTTTGTTGACCCAACTCTATAGGAGATAATGAGAAAAAAAATTTAAAAAATACATACAGATACATACATATACATATGTATTATGTGTACATATATAATTTATACACATATTCAAACCAAACTGAATACTATGATGGACAGTGTATAACTTCACAAAAACCCCAAAGTAGTAAGAAATATTGGAAAATTGTATTTTTAAATCCTTATAAAACATCTCTTGTAAAACAAAAACAAAAACGTTTTGTAACCTCAGATACATTTGAATTTTCTACGATCTATGCCTGTGGGCTTTATCATCAACAATCCTTAAGAAGAAAACATAAAAAATATTTGATGGATTATAAATTTCTCTGTCGGATGCTGTTTTAACCATTGGTGACATGATCTAAAATGGTATGCACAGCTTCATTTCTTTAGAGACTCAAAAAAAAGTCCAGAAACGTCAACCAAACAGAGATAAATTTAGAGATAATGAGATCGAGTTCTGAGTGTAAGAAATTAACTCTTTTTCAGCTCCACTGAGGGAAACATTTCTGTTCCAGAAGCAGGGGATGCTCTCTGATAAGGCACTTCTTCCAATAAGGAATGAAGCATGTAGTCCTTTAGCACAGTACCCTCTGGAGTCAGGACAGTGAGCGCCAGGACTCAGCCCGGACTTTGAAATGATCAGGCAAGGACAGGAAGCTGCCTTGTGTGTTAGGAACAGGGCAAGTCAACCACCATCTCAGAGAACTGGGCGAGATTCTGAAGACACTTTCATTCTGAATAGCAAGCCCCAGTTCCAGACAAAATAAAACACAGCCCCCAAATGAAGTCCAGTCGTTCCCTGCGAGAACTTGTACAGTCTTCTGTTTGCTGATTAAAATCTCCAGTTAGGAAGACACAACCTTTCCAGCTCTTATTCAGAAATGGTTATAATCTTAAAGCTATCATTTGAAATCCAGGTATAAATGGGCACGTGGCGTTGTAGCTACGGTTCTGATATACAGTACAGTGTATTCACAGTGATGTAATCTTTATTCGCTGTCCTTTGAACTAGCCTGGTTGTTATAGTACCAATAACAGTAGAGTACTCTTATGGTAATGTAATCTTTATTTATAACTTCCTTCAAACTAGCCCATAAGACATTTATTCAGAGGTCACCAATTTGTTCTGGACAGAAAGAGATTGGAAGAGTTTAGGGATTTGCTTGGCTTGTGGTGTAATGTATCATTTGATTGAATTCAAGGTAGAATTTGGGACATTTACAACTACAGATGAAGAAACTGAGACCCCAGGGCATTGTTTCATCTTTTTTCCCAGAGTCCAAGCATCATGGGAATTTGATTCAGCAAATTCTAATTGAGGCTGTTCAGTGACTGGCAGTTCCACTTTGTGGAGAGAAATTTGGAAAAGTCTAAGGTTCTTATGTTTAAGCCTTCCTAAACTGGATTTCTTCCTTTCCTGGTGTTTATAAGGTTCTTGAAGATGCTGGATTTTGCTGACGTAGTTAAACTCTGGGATTTGGAACCACATATCTATCATGGAAACCCAGCTCCACTCTTATTGCTGTGTCAATGAGACACATTGTTGCTTGACACATCAGGTCCTCAGTCCCCTTATTTGTAGGATGCACTTGGTGATAGCACTTACCTAAAAGCATCCTTGAGACGTTTGGAAGGAGTAGGTCTGAAATGCCTGGTGTGGTCCAAGGTGCCTACAAAGAAGCAACTCAATGTGAACTGTTGCTCTGAGGAAGAGCGTTATTTCTTTTATTTCACGCGATTCAGTATTTTGCGTGCATATGTTTGTGTGCATCACATGCATGCCTGGTTCCTGTGAAGGTCAGAAGAGGGTGTTGGAACTGGAGTTGCAGACAGTTATGAGCTGCCATGTGAGTGCTGGGAACCGAATCCAGGAACAGCAATTACTCTTAACTGCTGGGCCAGCTCTCCAGGCCCAGGAAGAGTGTTACTCTATTGGCAGTATCTGAGGCCTGCGTCAACAATAGGCATTTTCTTTTGTTCTGAAAGTGTGGGAACACGGCAGGAAACCTGGGACCAAGGTATATATTCAGCTCTGTGATAGTACTGTTCCCTCACTCTGTGTACTCTGAAACAATTTCCCTTCTCAGAGGTGAAAGCAGTGGCCGTAAGCAGTGAAGTCCAAAGTAAAAAGCTGGAACTGGAGAGCAGTGGACATTTCAAAGAGCAAGAAGTGAGAGCGGGGATCCCAACTCAGTGGCAGCTTGTTCATGGTCATGTTGCCCCGGGCTGTCTCTTCCACACCTTCTACTCTGTTTCTATGCGTGGGATGTTTTCTGTGCATTATTCCAAAGATAAGATGATTAGGGAATTTCCTTTACACCCTTTTTGCTGCTGGGACAAGTAAAGTTCTGAGAATCACCCAAGATTACAAAGTTAAAAACTAGTGGTTGGCTTGATTTGGGACTTCCTTTGTTTTTCCCTCTCCCTGACTGTCTTTCTTGATTCTTCTCTCCACTCCACCTTCTCTCCTTCTCCCTTGAGTGTTACCATCCTCCCAGTTAGTTTTTTTTTCCTGTGTATATATTGCAAAAGAAACTTGAAAAGTTGCTGTCATCTCAGTTGGAGTGGGTGGCTTGTAATCCTATGTGTTTGGGAGCTGAAGACAGGAGGATCGAAAGTTCAAGGCTAGCTTGTTCTGCAGGGTGAGTTCAAGGCCAGCTTGGGTAACCTTATGAGACCCTGTCTCAACATAAAAAGGGCTGGTGATGTAGCTAAGTAACAGAGCACGTACCTACCATCACTGACATCCTGGGTTTAATCACTGACAAAAATAAATGAACAAAATGTATTGTCCCTAATGTTAATTTTTGATTTTTTATACTTGATATAAAAAGTTAATAATATTTTTTTCTTTTTAATTTCGGCAATAATTTTCCTGACCACTTTATACTTTTGCCCATCTCTGGCCTGTGAATTTAACTCATCTTTTCTCTGTGGCAAGGACTAGGTATAAATAAGGAAAGTAACTAGAAAAAAGTAACTTGATCCATGTTGGGAGACGAAGTAACTCACTGGTAGGCGTCTGCCAGACTTCTCATTTGTATCATTTCCCCGTGAGCTTGCTGCTCTCACGTCAGGAGGTACCAAAGGTACAGTTGTAGCTCAGTGGCAGTGATGGCTAGCCCAGGTCCAACCCCGGTAGAGGAAGAGCAGGAATGTTGCCATCTTTTCACTTGCTTTTACATTTGCTTCTCAGAGTGTTAAACAGGCCTCATTCGCTTCCTTTGGAGGGGGCAGGGGGACCCAGGGCTTCATCTATCCTATGCTGGCCTCCAATTTGCTGTGTGGCTGAAGACAACTGGACTTCTAATCCTGGCATTATCACTTCTGGTGTATTCAGTACTGGACATCACTACCCACTGAACAATACCCTAGGCCCCTTTTTCTTTTCTCATCCTTTTCTTTTCTTTTTGAGACAGGGTCTCACACAGCTAAGCCCGGCCCTCAGCTTGCTGTATTCCAGACCTTTGAACTCCTCAGCTTCTTGCTCTCCAGGATTTCAGGTTGCGCCACCACCACACCCAGTTTTATGTAGTACAGGGGAGGGAGCCCAGAGCTTAGTGAATGCTAGGTATGCACAACTGAGCTGCATTCTACGCAGGGCAGGTTTCTTTGGGGGAACGTGGGTGAGGAATGTGTTGTAGGTTGCAGGCGGCTAGAGTCCGCCCGCCCCGCGTTGACCTCGACCCGGCTGGCTGGCTTGCACTTTGTACCTACCTGCCAACACAACACCAACACAGCTCCCTTCTCCTGCCTCCCCTTTCCTTCTCTCCTCCTACTCCCCCTCCTCTTCTTTTTTATTTAAGTCTGCGTTGAGTAAACCTGATGATAAGAGAAAGAGTTCAGAAGTTCAGAAACAAAAATGCCCGCAATCAAATGGTAGAGCGTGTTTTTGAAAAGATGTGTGCCTGCCTCTTCAGGATCCAGCCGCTTGTGCCCGGCAGGTCTCCGTGATCAGTCAGTTTTCTCCCTCTCCCTTTCTGCAACTTAAAAAACAAAAAACTGCTCTTGGCTTTACACCACACTCCAGCTTTCCCTAACCCTGTGCTCAGACCCAGCTCTGGGCCTCTTTGGCTCATCTAAAGACCCGTTATTAATATTTTCTCCAGGTCTTCCCTGCTCCTCCTTTTCCAGGCCTCACCAGGGAGGTGCAAGAATGCAGATTTCTTTTTTCCATTGAAATGAATGTCACCCCCCTTTCTCCCAAAGAAGGCAGACATGGATTCTGAATATTTTTCCATTCCTCTTTTACACATAGAATCGAAGCCAAAGCCAGTCATGGTAGATGCAGTGGGTTTTAGGTGTGCTGGAGTTGGTTGTAGTTTCATTGTTTGAGCTTGACAGTAGTGTTGGCAACACAGTTTTTATTTTCACGCCTTATTTTTCTAAGCCTGGTCATAGACCAGTGTCTGGGAAATAGGGGGTTTTCACATCCCTCCTCTGTGCCAGGCGCTCTCTGAGTTGAGCCGAGGAGTTCT